TCTCTCTATCTGTCAATTCGTCATACTGTTTCCTCTGTAGTTATCAGAGAAAGAATTGTCTTCCGTCAGAAAAGCTAGGACGATCAATAACTGAGATCAATCAGAGTGAGTAATGAATGCTCTTTATAGTCTTAGTCAGGAATAATGGTCTTCATTTCCATAAACGAGATAAACAGTGGCTCTCTATGTACTTTGAGTCATAGCATTGGGTTGGGAATAGTCTTATGGACTTAGAATATGCAGATGATATAGTCCTGTTAGGGGAGGATGCTGACAAAATCCAGCAGAGTCTTCTGAACACCTTGAGCAGCAATCTTCGTATGTTCGGCATGCGATTCGCCCCTGTAAAATGTAAGATGTTGCTACAGGACTGGACTACGTCAACTCCTAGCTTAGTGATACGGAGTGAAGTGATAGAACATGTTGACCACTTCACCTATTTGGGAAGTTGTATCAGCACCAACGGACTGATTGGCGACGAAATCTCAGCAAGGATCCAAAAAGCTCGAGCTGCTTTCGCTAACTTACACCATCTCTGGCGTAGGCGTGACATCCGGCTATCAACCAAGGGATGTGTGTACTGCTCAACAGTTCGCTCCGTCCTCCTCTATGGCTCTGAAACATGGCCAATACGAGTTGAAGACATGAAGAGATTGTCTGTTTTTGACCACAGATGTTTACGATCTCTTTCTCGCGTTAGGTGGTATAATAAGGTAAGTAATGTTGACGTTAGGCGTAGAGTGTTGGGCAAAGAGGGAAAATCAATCAACGAGGCTATAAGGTTACATAGATTGAGATGGCTAGGACACGTGCTGCGCATGCCTAACCATCGTCTCCCCCAACGGGCATTACTAGCTGATATAGGTGCAGGTTGGAAAAGAGTAAGTGGTGGCCAAACAAAAACATGGCATCAATCCATGAAATCCCTGACAGTTAAACTGAGTCAGGTAGGGAGATACAGACTTCCGGGTTGGGGACCTCGGGAATCTAAGAATCAATGGCTTGAGACAATATGTGACATGGCTCAAAATCGTTGTCAATGGCTTACGCAGATGTATTCAGTCTGTGTAATCTTTCATATTCCTTTCTACCATTACTCATTCTGTTTCACTCTTATACTTGTCAAAACTCTATTGATTCTCTTCACTCATTTTCTTGTCTACCTTTGTGTGCTATTTGGAACGTGGCAACTCGAAGTGCTGCACTTCGGTGCCAAGTTCTATGTTGAACCCAGCCAGTCTGTACGTACACTTAAAAAGCTAATAGAGGAAAGAGGGATAGGTAAAAGAGAAAATGATCCGGTGTAAATATGAACAACAGAAGGAAAAGCTCACTTCAATGTACATCACACTGAGTAAAGAAGAGTGCAATGCAAGACAAAAGACAACTACTCTACGACACATTGACAACTCAAGCCACTAGTGAATAGAACCTTAGAATACTAAATTAGATAATTAGGTCACTAAACTGAAAGGAAATCTAATCAATAAATCGGAGAAACAAAGAAAACAATGGGCTAATCATTTCAACGGACTCTTGAACCGACCACTACCTGCAACGTGTCCATAAGTACCAACAGCAGCCACAGAACTATCAGTGAACACCATTCCTCTTGAGTGTTATAATCTTACTGAAAGCTGGGAAGTCAGCAGAAGCAGACAGCACTGAAAATGAATGAAGAGACCTCAGTGGATATCCTCAAGTCGTTATTGCAGAAAGTTCATAAAGACAGGCATCTACTGATTGAAAATTCTCAAAGAAGAACTTTGCAAGAACTGGTGCGGAATCATTATACTCCTGTTCACGCATCATCCTCAGGAGAGACTAAGAGATGCCGTGGATGCGGAACTCTGCCTGGAACAAGTTTCACTCAGCGAAAGCAAATCATGTCCGGATCAGATTACAACGCTATTCACTACTATCATCATCGAACAGAGCATAGAATGGCAGCTAAATCTCTAACTCAATTTCATCGATGTTGAAAAGATCTTTGACAGCGTTGGCCACGAAGTAACTTGTAAACTGTTCCAATGAAAAACGCAGCGACCAAAACATTTATGAACCACATTCGACAGTTATATATCATGGTGCTACATGACAAATAATTGACAACGAAAGGTCAGTGAAGCCTTTCAAGTGAAGGTGGGATTACCACAAAGGCTGCCCATATTACCACCGGTGACATTCCTGATCCTGGTTGACTGTATCATGCGTCACACCGTAGGAACTGAGAAGACAGAAATACGTCGGGCCAACAAGAAGACTTGGACTTTGCGGACAATTTATGTCTACTGTCGCACCAACTAACAACAACAACAGGAGCAACATCCAGCGCCAATCACCATCAACGGGAGGGATTTGAAAGAGGTTACTTCATTCACTTATCTTGGGAGCATTGTCTCAACTACACGAGGAACGGATGAGGATGTCAAATCGAGAATCGGGAAGGCGAGAAACACATTCATCCACCTGAAACCAATCTGGAAATCTTCCGCTATCACTCAGCATCAACAACAAAATTCCGATTTTCAATACAAACGTCAAGTCAGTTCTTCTATACGGATCAGAAACTTGGCGGCGGGTCACAAAGAATATTTCCAACAGCCTGTTGCAGACCTTTATCAACAACTGTCTTCGCTTTAGACTACTGAAGATCAGATGGCCAGAAAGAATCACGAACAAGAAACTATGGGAACAAACAAAACAAGAACCAATCGCCGAACAAATATGCAGGAGAAAGTGGAGATGGGTTGGACACTCACTGAGGAGGCCGCTGGGGGACATCGCGTGTCAGGCCCTCGAGTGGGACGTCCAATGAAGACATGGAGGAGATCGTGTGAAGAGGAGCTGAAACAGTATGGACTAACATGGATGCAGGTGAAAAGTACAGTAGAAGACAGAAGCAAGTGGAGGCGTGCAGTTGAAGCCCTATGTTCCACTAGGAACCCAAGGGAACAATAATAACAGTAATAATCGCACAAACTAGATGACCTACAGGCGGAAACCAACGGAGTTGGCAGCCAAGAGATGACTTCGAGGGCATGTAAAGAAGACAGGTGATGCAGGTGATGATACCTAACGAACAACCACAACAATAATCACTAACAACGAAGGAAATTTCCTCCTTTCATTTATCTAGGCAGCACCATCTGAACCACAGGCAGCACGAACGAGGATGTCACAGACAGGACAGGATAGACTTTCATTAAAACTGCTGCAATAAATATAACGAACAAGATTCAGATTTTCAACACAAATTCAAGTCTGTCAATGCTTCTCACCTTGGTTCAGACGCATCACCAGAGTCATTTTCGACGGGCTACTACACACTTCACTTCATACTGAAGATCAGAAGGGATTAGCAACAAAAAACTCCTGCAACGAACTAATCAGGGACCTATTGCTCAACAAGTATACCGCAGAAAATGGAGGTAGGTCGGACATACGCTAAGGAGACTGTTGAGGAGAACCTGAATAAGAAATGACGATTTTTCGGTTGGTCCGAGGACGACATCGAAGTGAGCCGGTGAAGGCCTATGTTCCACTCGGAACCTAAGGGAATGAAAATAATGATGATCGCATAAGCACTTTGTGGTATAACGAATAATTTTCCGCTACCTTTGCGATAAGGCTGCCGCCTAGATAATAAGTCATAATCTTTGACGATACGAGTGTGGAGAGCAAATCTCTCCCCCAGCAAGGGAGTAGCTAAATTAAGAGCCTACTGCTAACTACACAATCAACTAATCTAGTCGAAAAGGTGGACTGATGATGAGATGTATGTCAAGCCCCTAGAAAACAAAACAACTCTCCCTAGTACTGTTATACAACTAACGCAGGTTCCCACAAAGAAAAAAACACAATAACAACTGCAGAATTAAACATTCTTTATGTATTTTTAAAAAATGGAAAAGAAGGCGACGCCTATTGTTAATAATAATAATAATAACAATAATAATAAGAATACCAAGAATGTGTATGAACATAGGCAGCAAGCGTCTTCTGACAAAATCATCATCATACACATTTATGTGTTGTTGTAAGAGCTCCATGATTAATTATGTAAGTGTTTCATGCAAACAGGATAGGTTTGTATGGACGCAGACATGCGCACAGGCGTAAAGGAGTGGTGGTGTACATTAACCACACTGTTAATCAAATTATGTCAAGCAAAGTATCCCTAGGCAAACGTAAACACATACAAATACACACACGCACGCACGCACCCAACCACCCATTCATGCACACACGCACATATACACACACTTCCTTTCTATTCTATTCTGAATGTGATACTTGATTGAGCATTCCGGATCGAATTCACATGATTATAAGATGAACAGTGTGTGTTTGTGTGTGCATGTGTTTCTAATGAAACACGATATCTAATCCAAAGGTTGTTGTTTATAAAAACAAAAATGGAAATTTTTTTCGATTTAAAAATATCAGAGTAACAACAAAATACAAATAAGGCTGAGCACAGAAGAAGAGAGAGAGAGATGACACGCGTAACCATTTTTTTACTGCTCTCATTCAGCGAGTAGTGGGGGACAAGGCGGCACGTGAGACACGCGAAAGGAGTATATGACTGCCCAATAAAATAAAGCAAGCTAATCAATAATACTGCTGCTGCTTAGGGCAATAGTTTAAAGCACAAGAATAATATGTGAACAGTGGAGCATACAGCGGGAATAGTCGTAGTAGTTGTAGTAGTAGCAGTTATTGTAATGACAACGCAGAAAGTTACAATTCATGGTAGGGGGGGAAATGTCAAGAGTATGGGCTAACTCTACACACACACACACTCCGTGCACTCTTATGTAAGTATATACACGCAAACACATACACAGATGGAAGAGGAGAGGATGGGTGGACTTCTCTCCCTCTCACATGAGAATGAAAAATAAGAGAAATGCGAAATCTGATGGCACTAAGACACACACGCGCACACACACACACACGGAAATACAAAACGTAAGCGAGAATTATTGTGAATTTACTTGACAACATTGATGCACCATTCCCAAGTGACATAGTCTGTTTTATCGTCATCCGTGAATTGACTTTTAATATGGTAGGTACCACGTGACAGAGCACCTTTTGGTGCTTCTTCTGGCTCAGATTTCCATTCGTACGGGGTAGCTTGTGGACCATAACTGCCGAGCATAACAGATACTTTATCAACTATGGAGAAAAAAGATAAGTACACAAGGGTTAGCTAGTGAAGTTGTTGGGAAATGTCTTGACCGAAAATTTTGATAAGATGAATGCTGAAGAAACACGTTTCATTTTAGCATCTCCCCCCTAATGTCCAAAAATATAGTCAATCCCTCTTAAGGATCAAATCTTTGAAAGAAAGGATGTAAAACTCTTCTTCCAAATTTTGATGTGAAACTTTATAAGGATGATTAGTGTAAGAGTAGATTGCAGGCGCCGTAGCGGAATAGAATTCCATATCAGTTACGTTTATTTGATATGATACACACACAATGAGTGATACTCACTCCAGTGTATTCATAACTGGACGATATTTCAAGCACAACTTATTGCCCATAATCATATGTTGGTAGATTCACACGACTTGACAACATACTCCTTTCCTTGCATAGTCCAATTCCCTGTTGTCTTTTATTGAAATTTCCCGCATATATCCGATCTAGGCATTGGTGTGTTATATCGATTGGACATATTTAGTACTGTGAACTTACAACCTAGTTTCATCATTTGGAGTAGTCAACAACTACCCCATACATTTCGCATCACGACTGACTCTGACAATCTCATTCATGTTGCCTGTAGTCGAAACGATACTGTCAAAGGAAGTTAAAGGGACGACGATGGAATGACTCCAGAGGTGTTTAAGGCTGGCAGAGACAGTTTACTAAGGCACTAGGCAGCATCTGGGAGTCAGAGGAAGTCCCATCGGGGTGGTGTAAGTCATTGATTATCCCCATAAACAAGAAGGGAGACAAGTCTCCGTGTGATAATCACAGGGGGATTAGCTTGACTAAATGGTATCTTAAGTTCTAGGCTCAATAATAATGCATAGATTAAGTGTTGCACGGGAGGAACAAACACGAGAGAACCAGGCAGGTTTTAGACCAGGAAGAGGGTGTATTGATCCCCTCTTCACCCTTCGACAGATTCTGCAACACAGCCATACTTACACACAATCGTTATTCTTCTTGACCTAAAGGTGGCATTTGATTCTGTCGACTGAGAGGTACTATGGAGATGCCTGGCTGTGAAAGGAATGCTAAGGAAAAAAACTGCACTGATCAAGGCACTCTACTCGAACTCATGTAGCCAGGTGAGAGCTTACGGCGAGTTGTCATCTGAAGTGGTGACAACTAGTGTTGTTCGACAGGGATGCCCACTAACCTCATTTCTATTCAATTTCATCATAAATGCACTCATGGAATTAACCCTAACTCACTTCAGCGACTCAGGGACTCACTTGATACCATCAGGGAATAATCCCGTTGACTTAGAATAGGCAAATGACATAGTCCTTCTATGTGAAGACGCTGACGCAAGAGGCTAGGATGAGTATGTTCGGTCCCGCTGAAAAGCAATAGGTGTATCATTGCATGAATGGCCTCCATAAACGACCAAGTATCTCAAAGGATGAGTAGATTACTCATCCTTTCGAAATGTGACTACGCGTCTTCATATCTTCTGCCGGATAAGTCCTATTTACCGTCTTCACGCAGCAGGGGTTTTCCACAGAAAAGTGGATGTCTGGAACTTACAACCGGAGCGGTGGGTATGCTAGTCTACCTATAAGAGCTGAAAAACTCTGATTCTACCAAACCTATGGAGTAAATGAACTCTGAAATCTGAAAGGACTTAATGGTATGGTATATGAACCTGTTTTGATCACCGGAAACCGTAGGAATGCAGGTCGTCATGCTGCTCCACTACCTTGTGGACTAGACTCCAAACCAAAGACTCGGGGAGTGTCCCTTAAGACACAACCACCTGCTTCAGTCTGGGCGTCCGGATAGTATTCTAGTCCTCGCACAAACTATGAGTTTTTGTGTAGGGCATCTCTTCGTGCTCATAACGTACCAAGGACAGAAGCTGGATTTATTCAAAAGAATTTCAATAAAGGTGATCGACGCATTATTAAATGATATATATATATATATATAAACGGTTTGATAACAAACTGATGACTAACTAACTGGTTTCAACGTAGAACTTTTCACATATGTGCAGCAGTTTGAGTTGCCACACTCCCTCCATGCAGCACACAAAGCAAGAGAAGAGAGATTCAAAGGAGATATTTTCAGCTATATTACCGATTGTCTCCAGCCTTCATTGGTTTCTACTATCTCGAGGACTCCAACCAGGAAGCTAGTTTCCACCTCCCGAAGTGGCTGGCTTGAACTAACTGTTGTGGATTCCAGTGACTGATGAAGCCGTATTTTCTTTTGACTACCACACTACTAGCTCTTTTTTAGCCTGATCCATCCTATGTCAGCAGGTTAACATCTCCTGTCGTCGAGGTGGACGATAGCTAGGAATGCACGTGTAACACATGTCCTAACCATCTCAATCGATGTAACTTTACAGCGTCGTCTATTGATTTCCCTTTCTCACCTAGCGCTCACCGGATGCCTAATCTCAATATTGTTCACCTTATTATACCATTACCTAACAGGGGAGATAGAACGCAGACACCTATGATCAAAGACAGCTTGCTGGTTTTTTTTCATGTCTTCCACTTTCAATGGCCATGTCTCACAGTCAGCCATAAACGAGGACGCATAGGACTGCTGAGCAGTATACACCTCTTTTGGTCAACAGCTGGATGTCAAGTCTACGCCAGAAATGGTGGTGTAGGTTGGCATACGGCAGACTAGCCCCCGCTGGCATTGGCTGATGCAACTCCCCGAATAAGTGAAGTAGTGTAATTTTATTCAGGCAGAAATATTTTTTTATAATATTGGTCCACTAGATACCTACAACATTATGTATGATGATCAAATCATCAAAGGCTAATCCTTAAATTTACCTACATAATCGACACTAATTCGATCATGGAGATTAAGACAGGTAGATGATACCATAGCTGTTCAACTACCATAGAAGCGTGTTTACTGTCAAGCCTTCTTTGTGTTTTTGATATAGGCAAAAGAAGAGTTAGGTGATATATTTCACTCAGTTCGATACCTCCACTTGATTTTCTATTCAAAGCATCATGGTTCTATGTGTGCGCTTAGAATACCATTTAGCGTTACACAACAACTGTGCTTCGACCAACACATTGAGTGAGCTTTAGACATTTTAATGAAAAGAGGCTAAAAGTATTTAAGCATTATTACTTGGTCCCACCACTTTTTTGTGTGTGACCACTCAGCTGAATGTCATGATTATCACTGCAGCATTGTAGCCTTTTGTTTGTCATGCGTTTCTGTAATACCGATAATAATTAAAAACCTGTTCTTAACAATCAGAAAGGTAGAAAAAGAACTCGGAGTTACAGTGTGGTGTTTTAAGTTGCTATCACGCTATCAAGTTAGCTTATCTCTTCTGTCAGGTACCCCGTGATTATTATTCTCACTTGGTACAATCTAGGCACCCAAAGAAGAAATACGCTACATAGAAATGCACAGTTTGTGCGAGAGATAAGGTACTGTCCGGATACTGTCAGATTGAAGCAGGGGGACCCCCAGGAAGAGATAAATAACAGCGCTGCTTTCAGTCGATTTTATCAGCACACACAGACGAATTCAAGCATTAACCACCTAACCTCACTACACTTCGCCTTTTCTCAAAAGTTACAAACCTGTTTTCTTCATTGCCAAGTCTGTTGTTCACAGAGTCTCTTCAAATTTATTTCATTGGGATAAAGGCTTGAAATAGTAAAACAACATTTCTTGTCTCTTAAATCCTCTTTGTGGTGCGTCGGTGGCACAGCGATAGAATGCTCGCCGACTGCGCATGTGGTCAGGGGTCCTTTACCTCACTAGGCCAGTAATAAGACTGGTAAATAGGGAAGTTTGGGCATGGGGTTAGCAACCCTATCCCGTAAAAATAAACAACACTGCTACCGAAACTTCAAGCCTCTGGCTTGAAGCTCTATGTTCCACTGGGAAGGTAAAGGAATAAAAGAACCCTCTTTCTGCTAACTCTGCCAAACTAGTAAGCAGATAAGATGATAAGGTTAATCAGCTTCGAAAATCACTAGCTTGAATAGAAATTAATATATGAACAGAGAAGATCGTTGTTTGGTAACACAAATACATAAAAGGTATTCTTCATGGGAATTCGGAAGAAACATCTCTTACCTCTAAGAGGACCTCTATTTGTCCACTGTTTGAAACGAAGCCCACAAACAATATCACGCTGAACGTAATATATCACTTGGATGCGATAACTGGAGCCTTCAACAATTTGAACTGGCTTGGATTTAAGAGAGGAAAGATCACCTGAAATGCAGATACGGAAAAATGAAATGGTAAATAAAAATTGAATCACATGTAAGTTGTAAAAGATGGAAAGCAGAAATGATAAACTGGTTTCCATTTCAAAGGTAGGGACAAAAAGAAGTGAACTCTTGAGAATGCAGGTGGTAGTGAAAGGCGTAATACTTCAACCTCATGTACGACTTAGGCAATGAGTGAAACATGAATTATGAGTATCGAGCTATTGTCTGCTTCAACCATCTTTGTTAAGAGATATGACTGATCTAGCTAAGACTTGAGCTAAAACCAGTGATTAATGGTCTTCGTTATTACAGGAAATGTCAGCAAGCTTAGTAGTTACATGCCTCATGAATAATAAAGATGCAATAATTACCCAATCTGATATCCTGCTGGAAGTTGACCAATGGTAGATATGCACTGACCTACATCAAAATCGCAATGCTGAACCCTGACCACATCCGACATGTGGAGGTACTATGACTAATTACATCACATTCTGTTTCTTTATTACTCTTTGCACAGACTTTCACTTGAGATGTATTAAAGGGAGCTACTTGCTTGCTCCAGTCGTTTTTTTACCGTTGTTTACATTACGAAGTTCATCTACCCAGCAAAGGATGGGTGCACTGCACAGCAGTTCGTTCCAACACTTTACGGTCATAAAACAACCGCTTAGAGTGGCAGACTTGAGGAGACTAGCTGCTTCTGACCATAGATATCTGTGTTCTGTTTCTCGTTAAGTGATATAATATACCTAAGTCAGTTGTGTACATTTTGGCGAAATGTAACAGCTGTAATTGCATTACTTTGCGAAAAGTTTTAGCTTCTTATGTATGATTAATGGAGGACATTAAAGTTATACCGTGTACAGTACAAATCAGTGAAAGAACTTCAGATTGGAGGAGTATATTAATTAAGAGATAAACACTAATTTTTACTTAGTGACATTCATTCTATTGCAAATCCTGTACACTAATTCATGTGGTGGTAATATTTGAAGTCGTAAATTTTCTAGTGTTTTCTTTCTGTTCTGAGCTGAGACTTACTGGAGTTGTGTTTAGTATAACTTTACGATCAAGTCTTTCATGTATCACTCGTTCAAAGATAATCAAACTTAGAAGGAAAACAAAATCGTAAGTTTAATCGACAAAGAGATCCATGAAAACCGTAGTACTAAAAAAGGCGTTAGTTAATGTTGCTACAAGTCACAACAGCTTAAGTGAGAACAGTTTTTCTGAGGTGGAAAATTCATGGTAGTTTAGTAATAGGTGAAGCTAACAGTCAAACAACCTTGGAACTCTTCAGAACATGAAGAGTCAATACATTTGATCTTTATCTTAAAGGGTATGTCATGCAAAATAGAAGTCACAGCAGACACTTGAAAGAATAATGTACTACATCATAGAAGCACAGTGAAAAAATTTACACGATGCATAGTCTGCTCGTTTGTGAGCTGGTCGCAGAACCTGGAAAGATAGGTGAATTTTCTTGAAAGTGAAGACCCAAGACATCATTACTTTTCGAGTTACAAGACGCTGAACCTTCCGAAGAAACCCACGAGAAGTCTAAATACAGTGATAGATTAGTTGAATATGTAGGGAATCTGATTGCATGCGTCTAGGATACCGCTTAGTAGATGCCACACAACATGTGGAAAACAGGAAAAGGCTATGAGAAACTCCTAGTAAGATAACGCCAGGGCACGAATGTAAACAAGCCTACCTTCAGAACGAATTTATTAGCTTCGTTTGCGATATCACCGAAGTAGACCCTCAGTTCTGTACACGAGACAGGCTAGATGGATGGTGATCTTAGTGGCATCAGTGTGGCTTCTCAAGCGAGGGATATTGTGACTTGCGGTCACCTTAAGTTCAGCGTACATCTCAATGAAACTGGACTGCTTTCCGACAGTTTTTAATTCTGGAAACCATCCTATGTAGCTGTTTACCAACAGGACATACTTCCAACAGTACTCCTCTGTCCTTGTGTACCCGGGGATTACTACTGACAATAGGGCTAAACGTACCCGAATAACGCATCAAAATTTTATGTGGATGTCCCTAGTTTTACTGCCTAAAGGGAGCCTAACAATGACGCATCAGATCAACTTTACTCAAATCTTTCTCATAGAAATAGAGGTTTGAGTGTGGAAATCGGATTAAGTGAGAATTACTACTTCATTTGTAGGGAAACATTTGAGAGCATGTCAATGGGATAAGAAATTGAATTCTAGGACCCTTTCCTAAACAAATACATCAAAATAGGAAAATGAAGAAATGATTTTGAAGGAAGCCAAGAGCCTCTCTATATCAAATGACAAATTTGAGGGGAAAAAAGTCAGACGGTATTTACTTGCCTCGTAAGTTGAATTCAATATCAGGTTGTCCTTCAACGAGTATGCAAAACTTTTCAACGACAACATTTGAAGGATTATCTGGAACTGTTTGGCAATAAGCAGATAAAGACAAACATACATGGAGCATTGATGGTTGAAACGGCAGCACCTAGGAGGGCTTGTTTATACCTCTGCAAGCTTTCATCTTCCTTATCCAAACTCTTCAACTCATCCAAAGTACGTTTTTCCGGTGGTTTGTACTTATTTTTAACATCATCATCCCAGTCACCCTCATCAATCGAATGCTCTGCCATTTCCGAGGTTAACAGCACGCAACGACAAATTTCAAATAATCCACCTGAAAGTCCAATATCCAATATCGTTTTTACGAGCTAGTATAAACCAATTCGATTTCTTTGTGCTCGCCTCTTGATTGTGAGGCATAGGTTACTGATCCTCGGTAAACTTCTGCGTAGCTCGTCCCGCCACTCAACTGTCGTAGCTTTAGTTGACTCCAAAAGGAGTAGTGCAGGGATTAATTATATGTGGTTTGTAGTATGAGGTGTGTTAAGACTGATACTACTGTGAATGGAGTTGATCCTTTCACCAGCTAGTCCTCCGGTATCATCGTCAAAAGAAAAGAGACAATAAGACAAACAGAAAAAGAATAAGAAAACGTAACAACAGTTAGCTGATTAAATCTGAAGAATAATATGAATAATATATATCGGTAATAATGATAATAATAACAGGCGTAGTTAAAGGTGTCAGCAGAGTAAGATGGGAGAGAATGTAAAGAAGTGAAACGACAAGTTTAATTGTCTACCCTTGAACGGTTTGTGCGATTTTAAGGGGATAGGCCATTTGGATGCAGTCCTTGTGTCGCTGCATGGTTGTCCAGCCTTCTCTTAAAGGCGTCCACAGACGGTGCCATAGCTACATCTGCCAGTAGGGAGTTCTAGGAACGGCTAAAGTCGCAGTGAAAAAGAAGTGGGAGCGCACTCAATTTATTGCCTTTTGGTGAGCTATCCTTCTGGGATTTCCACGAAGAAGCCCATATTTACTCAGTGGCAGAACACCTTTGTCTGGATGATTCTGGTTATTTTTATCTCTGTAGTCAGTAATCAAATCACCCCTAAGTCGACGTTAGCTAAGTGTGAACAGGCCTAATTTCTTCAGCCTTTCATCATGTGGTTTATTTCGGAGACCGACCACTCCTTTTTTTGCCTGTCGTTGGACTCTTTCCAAGAGGTTGGCTTCTCTTCTAAGCAGTGGTGGTGCAATAATATTATGCTCCTAAATGTGTGGTCTGACGTATGCTCTGCACAACCTTAGAAAGAGATCAGGAGTGAGTGCACCTAACTGTCTATGTGTAAAGTGTATGACCACATATGCCCTCGCTACATCCCCCGTGTAATTTACACTTGTGTCCATTTTTTCCGTTAGAACTAGACCTAAGTCGCGTTCCGACGTTGTGCAGGACAAGCTTTCATTGCACAGGGTGCAACTTGCATTCTGCAGTCTACAGGTGCGTAACTTCACTACTTTGCACTTTTTCAGGTTGAAAGTCATGCCACTGGCCACCGCCCAGTCTTCCAGAAGGTTTAGATCTTCCTGTAGCCTATCTGAGTCCTCCGGGCAGTTCAATATCCAATGTAATGCCTATCCATAATATGAAATATTGTGAGCCAACTGATTATTCTGAGGTTTCTCTTTTCTTGTGGGTACAAACTAAGGGCCTTCGTGATCACTTGTTTACCTCATTTCTGATAACTTTGACACAGATGTGAGATTAAGTAAATGTAATCATTTTATTCATTGATACTTATCTTTACTTTTACTCTAATTTACATAGAATTAAAGTGTGTGGGGCGTATTAGAAACTTCAAAACTTGCTACCTCGTTGAGTTGAAGTTAAAGTTGTCCCTGTAGCAGAGGGAGATCTCTGGGAGAAATCCATCTTTTACCTGTAGTATGCAAATAAAACCCACTGCCACCTTCGGGTGAAGACAACTGTTTCTGAAAGTATGTTCCTGCAAACATTTTTGGCATTTTTCCCCTTGCTGATATGATCATGCCTATCCTGGACATGTGTCTGTTTGGTTACCATGACCTACTCGTAAACATCTGTGGAGGCTACTGGTAGACTGCCTATTAAGGAAATTCTTACTTGTGTCAAGGCCTGTCCCCGATCAACAGGAAAACAGTAGCTGATCCAACCCTTCAGCCGACTGTTAAGGAATACCCGGAGCTATATTACTCCATGAATGGTTACCTGTATGTAACCAGCACTACTATACATCAAACTACATTTGACCTCCTAAGATTGATGACAGGATCATGGAAACCCAGTGTCAGCCGAAAATGGGTCTAACTATACATCATACCTTGGCAATGGTTCATGGGCATCCAACTTTATATAGTAGCACAGAAGGATAGCAGTGACTGGTGACCCATGGGTGATTAAAAACGACTGAGTGGCAAAACTATCCCAGATTGGGATCTACTTTCAAATACCTACGAAGTGAAGGTAACACTTTCTTGGCAAAAGTCCACGTACTTAGGTCGTACAGTGCAAAACTGATGGTTCCGGAAGACAACCCAGAAACGACAACACCTATCATCCAGTTTACAAAATTCAACGCAAGGATTTCGACGCATTACTGCCGAGGCTTTCTGCGGTCTTGACTTTATGTATGTCAAGGAAGCTGGTCAGTTACACTTTCTGTACGACTTCGTGCTCGCTTCTGGTTCCCTCCAACTACTGTTAGGCCATCTTTCCGACCAGACTTCAGCTTCGACCTCACTACTTGCCAACCCTTTAATGTGACCACGTTGCTCTTAACACCGACCCAAACTAGTGAGGGGACAATGTAATAATTACCATCATTCAAGGCTATATTTATTAGCGAGAGTATCAAGAGAATATAGGGACACAATCATACATCAGCCCAGCAACTAAGCTCTTAACCCTCAAAATCCACCTTGTCCGCTGTGATTCAATCAGCACAAACAAACAAATTAGTCGCTGAAGGACAAACGTCTGAGGTTCAGTCGAGTTTGATTTCTCTGCTGTATACTTGAGTGACTGCCCCATAGGAAGTCCAGGAAGGGAAACGCATCCCTAAATTTTAGATTTCTCCTTCAGCAGGTTAGGTTAACACGGCATTTCTATAAACTATTCACAGGTGTCAAATAGGAAAACCGCCTGGCTTAGTTATACCACGAACTACAAGTTCACCCAATCACCGACTATTAGGGTGGAGGTGATTTCAAACTTTCCAGAGCAGAAAACTACGAAAAGTTTCCACAGTTTTCATGGCCTGGCAAGCAGTTACCTGAGACTCACTTCCAACTGTCACGTTTTTGTACAACTGCTAATCGGCCTCAGAGGTAATATCAAGTTCGTAAATTTCAGCACACATTGTTGAAGTTAAAAGAATCATGGCTGATGCCACCGGAGCACATTTATGCAACTCATTTGAGGCATTTGACACCTCTGTCGGAGCAGTTCTGCAGAAACTAGTTAATAATCGACGGCAGCCACTTGCTTTTCCTAGAAAATAACACGGAATGGAAACAAAGTACACCACTTTCTCGGTTTTTGTACCTGAGGGACTCCAGTTTACAGGAATCCTCAATATTCATATGTACATAGAGTAGGCATATTTAAAATTATTTAATTACACAAGAAACATATGAAACAAGGTGGTGGAATAATATCTATTAGATCACTTTGCACACGCAGTGTAGTACTAGTTGTCGTCATCGAATACATTGGATCAAAATTCACGTCTTAATTGAAGGTTGCGTTACTGGTGATAGGTATGAAAGGTGATAAAATTGTCTTGTTAAACGTTAGTTAATTTACCGATAGTGATGTTTCTGGCAGTCTTAACTGCCAGGAACTCACTATAGCAGTAAACATAGGTCAATCACATGATGATTCACCCACCGATTGGGCAGTGGTTTACAGGAGAACCGAACACACCCACCTGGGTCGACTTGGAGCGGTAACTCTGAGTCAGTTTTTTCAACCTTCGGGGAAAGGCGGATAGCGAATTTCGGTTACTCATCTTCTCTAACAACGGACTGCCAGTGTCAATTAGAAAGCTGCATACACTTATTATTCACTGAACTCCTACCCTGCAAGGGTTTCAGAACAACAGCCTATCATTCTCGGGTAAACGGCGTTGTAAAACGGTTCCAGGGACAATTGAATTTTGGATTTCCAGCTGCAAACATCGTACATTGGACTCAATCGCCAAATATAGTCCTCCTGGTTCCAGGGAACGTATACATTTATATATTAGAGAACAGCAATGAGACCACACAGTGAGTTTTATCATCGTCTGAGATTTCACCAGCTAAAGGTAACGCCTCGTACGTTAGCAGTCAGACAAGCACTACGCACCTGGTTAAGCGTGCCCTCATCTGGCCGCAGTTTAAAGACATTTTGATCGTCCATGTTTACAATTTCCACACGTGTTCGCTCGTCAGGCGTTCGAACTTCCATACAGCGAATCATATGGAGTCACTAGACGCACGAACTTGCCCTTCACTTTAGATATAAATATTCACGAAGGCTGCATTATAATCGGCAATTTAATAACTGGTATACTCATAGGGCTACCCAGTTAACCTCGGCCCAGTCGTTCTGCAAGACACGTCATCGACACGTTCTGAGAGTACCGTGAAGTTCTCTGAGCACATCAATGCCTATCTTTTGGGGCGAGGTTAAAATACCTCACTTCTCTTTAAATTGGCTGCTGTGCCCAAGGAACAGTATTTTTCACATAGGAGTTATTCTTCCCCTAAACCCGCGTCAGAAATCAAATGTTTTTTATGGCTTTATGAAATAATTTTTCGGTGTTGTCCTTTTTTCGCGTCATGCGTTTGCTTTACGCCATTTTTCGACAAACTTTTCAGGTTTTCTATCTTCTTCTCTCCCTGCAGGGCACAGTGGGCAAGAAACAGATGGACTGGTGGATTAGCATGTAAGGAATCTTTGTAGATTACCATAGACAGACAATCAGAAAGCAACTTATTACCATCGCGCTCTTTGGACGAGTCTTACCAATGTCGTCACAAGTAAGGAATGGAGGCAAGCTGTGGCGACAAATAATTCCTCATCACTATTGACCTACATCTTCAATCATTTAACGCTGAGCACTGGTCATCACTGCTTCAGTCGGTGATGTATTTTCAGGCACCCACGCTTTTGATACACTGTCTTATAGCATTCGGTTGCTTTTGCATACAATGAAGTTAGTTAGGCAGACATCACCACTTTACATTTCGGATGCCGAAATATAATTTGCATTTCGCACCATAAAAGTTTTGGATTTTGCTTCCAAA